TAAAACTTTATTTTTAAATATTGTTTAAAGTCCGTTCGCATGGTAAATACAAATTAAGTTAAGCAGGGAAACCTATTATTAGCCTTACTAAACTGTAATATATTTATTTTGTATTATATCATATGTATCGCTGTTGGTTTTCTAAATAAATAAAATAAAATAAAATAAAAATATTGCCATTAATGGCAATGTTTATTTCCTGTCCGAAGAAATAGCCAGCCCTCTGGTCACGAGTAGAATCGATTAGCTTCCGAGCCATTTCTTTATAATCCGAATGTGTCCTGGGATCCCATTGCCCAAGCATGTCGATCCCAAACGGCTGAAAACAGTAGTTGCCCACTAGATTCGAATATTTACGCCGTTTGAAGGTCTCTGCAGCGGTACTTAGAACATCTGATGGAGCAAGGGTGTCTACACACGTGGCGTCTCACACCAAAGGCTACCCATCTTGCAAGACAGCAACGACATACCATCTGCTCACTTGCCCTCATCACGTACCAAACCATTAGATTCTAATAGTTACGCCTGGTACGCCGGCTGAGGCAATTTGTCGGAGTGTCAAGAACGTTTTTTCGTTTTTAAATAGGTATTTTAATTAAATTAAATTTATACGGAACGACTTAAAAATGTGCTAGCTGAACAACGCCATCCAGAGGACAACATTTTCCACCTACTATTGTGTCTCTGCATCACCCTAAGGTTGGCTGTTGTAGCGGAGAACCTAACGGGTAACCGGGGCTCCGACTCGACGTGCAGGAGGGAAAAATCATCGAATGACTGCTCCCGCCTGGGTGAGGCGGAAGGGAGTGTCAGACTCTTACTGACTAAAAACCACCCCGTTCCTTCTCCTGCACGTCGAGCCGGAGCCCCGGTTACCCGTTAGGTTCCCGCGACATGAGGCATTGGATACGCCAACTGAGCAGAGGCCCTTTAGACAACTTTAATCTAAATGCAATGGGACATAAACCGGCGACTATCCCTGTATACACTATGGAAATGCGTCCAAGGACAGTCCCCGGTTAGTTCGTAGTAGTTAATTTAAAGTATTATAGATAATGGAAAAAAGATAGGGCTATGGATGGGTTTCTGTGGACTTGTAAAATGAGCACTATGGGGTGACTATGGCACCTGCCGAAACAATGCAATTATTACACGCAAAAATGGCAGGCGGATACTCGACAACTCACCGACCAGGCCCCGGGAATGGTTGCTAGATATAGCAACAGAGTGACAACGAAAATGTGAGTGGCTGAAGGGTAAAGAAACTACCACCGCTTTCTACTCAGATCATCTCCTCCTGCTGAAGCATCCTGCATCACTAGCCCACTCGCGACTTACGAATAGTTTCTTACCCTCCGAGCAAGAATACTGCTCTCGCGACTCCACTCTGGACAGCCAATGAAGGCAAGCCAGAGGTGGGTCCGTCAAGCAATGCTGTTCCTCGTCATCGTTCACTCCAGTCAGCCAATTAAGGTAAGCCGGAGAATAAGGAACGATGACTTCTTCCTGCAGCACACAGGATGATGGTAGCCCGCGGGGTCGCTGATGCCCGTCACCTCGTCTCAAGGTACCCTGCGTATTATTTTTTAATAAAATAAAAACATTTTTTTTTCATTTTAATTGTTTTTAATTTCAATCTGTGACTAGACTGAGATCGACATCGGCGAGTAAGGTCATTCTCCAGTTTGGAATTTCTTGTTTCGGCGTTTCTACAGACCATTTATATTTTGATTTAAGCACGACTATTTATATTATGAGTCAGTCATCAAATTCAGTCGATCTTTGTCCGTCGATATTTTAACATGTTGGGAGATTTCGGGATCCGCGATGATATCCATGGAAGATCTTGCCAGGAGAACCAGTGATTTGGATTCACTGTTACACCGAGAAGAGCTTGTCGCTTCACTTTTACTGAATGCAAAAACTTCAATCTCTTCATTTTTGACGTCCCTTTTGTGTAATCCTTTATGTAGTCTTCTGACATTTTTTCTTTTAGATTACTAATTGTTGAGACGAAGTTTGTGAGTTCATCCTTCATGGCCCAATGTAAATGTTTTTTTACTTTTAAATATAATTCTTTGCTGAAATCGTCAGGATTGTAAGCGAAAACTCCCGTCCCCTGTTCCAATAACAAATCAAAAATTATTTCTTCATGCTCATATACTGTTGCTTTTAACACATTGTCTGTTTTTAATCTGTAGCCAAAAATTTGTCGCACGTTTTTGTCGCATTTTAAAAATACGACGTTTAAAATGAAGTCCCAAAGGTTTCTTTGATTTTCTATTCCAGAAGCCAATTTTAATAATTGACAAATATATTCGACTGCGAAATATTCTGTGAAAGTCATATGTATAAATGTTGGTATATTGTTAACGATGCTATGTACTAATCCAGTCTTTTCTATGCCAATTTTAATATTTTCTATAGTTTTTCTAATTTGAGATAATTCTTTATCGTCAAATATTTTGTCGAGGTCCTGATTAAAAATAGCATAAGCACCTAGTTTGTAATGTTTCACGAAGAAGTCCTCTCGAATTTTCTCATAAATTGTCAAATTGTCGGGATTGTGTAAATCGATTTTGTTTTTCTCTTGAAATCTTATATTCTTTAGGTTCGTTTCAATAAATTTGTCGTAAACTGTAAAAGCATTTATGTCTAAATTCCATCTGTTTGGTATTATATTTTCGTCATTGATTAGGTTTTGAAAGTAATCGGCGAATAGGTAAAGATGTAAAGGTGTATCAACAGTTTGCACAAAATGTACAGAATGTGTACAGTTGTGGAAAAATAAATTAAATGTTTGAATCACATCTTCGGGACAGACGTTGAGTTCTTTCCTCAGATAGTATAAAAAATTGTCACAAACTTTCACAAATAAGATTTGATATATTTCCCTTTTTTTAACCACGGCCGCGGCCGGTTTTGTCCCACTCGATTTATAGTAATGTTTCGACATAAATTCCATAAAACTACACAAATTATTGCATTGCTGTTTGTTCAAATTCCTCAATATAATTGTCGATTGCCAATATTTCCACAAATATTCATAAAGTTCTTTCTCGTTAAACCCTTCCACGTCGTATGGTTTCCCAAATTCTTGTTCCAAACCTGCCATGACCTTGTCGTAAGACCGACTCGTGATCCACATTTTATGTTTATTTGTGTGATTCCGTACAACTTTCAATAAGTGCAGCACTTCTTCTGTATAGAGCGGACATATCTCATCGAAACCATCGAATAAAAAGATAACTTGCTTTCTATTGAAATAGTCTAGGAACATTTTTATTTCGAACACCATCCATGGATTGTCTGTACGACATGATTTTAGATGTACAGCACCATTCGATTCCTCTAAATGGAATTCTAAGTCACTCTTTTTGTTCCCTCCGACAATAATAGGACATAAAAACTTCAGAGTTTCTATAATATCAATTTTCACTTTGTTTTCTTGCCATTTATTTAACTTTTCACAATGATCCAGCAAATTGACTCGCACTATCCAAATTTTTGGGTTAGTCTCTTTAGTTTTAATAGACAAGTGGGTCAATAAAGTTGATTTTCCCATACCTGGCTTTGCTGACAATAGGACAACATTAGCCAAATCATTCAGATTGGAAAATTCTACGTTTTCTTTATGAACAAAATATTTGGTCTCTGACCCAACTTCTGGAACGAAGTTAGGCGGTTGATACGGGAGCAGTTTACAAACTCTTCTATCCACGTAAAGGTGTTTAACTTTCTCATAATTTAGATTTGTAAGTGAGTTACTAAAACGTCTTGTTTCATTATTAATAAAGTCATTTAAAACAACTCCTTCGACGGTTTGCATCGATTGCTCATCAACGATAGTGTCCAATGTCACTTCGACATCTTGAAAATTTACTTTCGCTTGTAATACAGTTTTCTGTGACTTCTCACTCAGGTCGGTAAGGCTACATCTGTCGTTTTTTATTTCTTTTATACCTGAAAAATATGTCTGGACCGTGTCTAGCAAAGCCGTGTTTGTGACGATAAGTATCCGTTTTTTATTCAAAATATTAGAGACATTTTCTAACCTTTTAATTGAGCTTCTTTGTATGTTGTCACACGCTAGTATTATAATTTTATTTTGTTCCATTTTTGTAAGTTCTTTTACAAGTGTCGAGTAGTCTTTCGTTAGAAGTAGATCTTCTAAATCCATGACAGTATGTCCGAATTTGTTTAAAGACTGCATCAGTTTTACTACTGTCAAAGGAATATTTTCCGTTACGAAAATGACGTTTGTCAATGTTTCTGTTAGATTCAATGATTTCACTGCGTGGTCGTTGAAAGTTATTTCAAAAATATTTCCCAATTTCATTGTGTACATTTTAGTAATTATTGACAAAAGAGGTTTGTCAACAATCAACTTCAAGGCTTCTTCGTAATGCGAGCTCTTTTTCGTGAGATATTCCGCCTCCTTTAACATCCACCATTGTTGTATTTGATCGTGGTATTGTAAAAAAATGGCGTCGGCCGTCACTTTGATACCGTCAACGTTAAGACATTGGTGATCTTCAATTTCGTCTTTTAAACATTTCTCGACGCCTTTCTCGTCAGCTTGGTTTGTGTAAAACAGAAGTCTGTTCAAGAAATCTTTCGCCAAATTTTCATCGTCTTCATTTCTTTTGAACGAGAGCTTCGGGAATCTTTTGACGTATATGTTGAATCTATATTCATGTAAATTGGGAGTTTTCCTCTTCAATTTTGTGAACAACCTTTTGGAAGTGTCTTCTAGTGATTCCCAATTGTCTGTGAATTTATAAAGGTGCGTATCTCCATCTAGAACAAAAATATTTCCGACAATGCCTGCTATACCTCCACTGAGCTTTAGAAAACCTTCTCCCAGAGACTCATCAATAGTAACAACTTTATCGTCACTTGATTTACTCATCAATTCACATAGTTTCATTTTCAAATGATCTAATCTTTTTTCAGCTTTACTTTTTTTAAGTTTAATGTCTTTGTTTCCGAAAGCGGTTGAGACTTTAAACTATCGTTTCATAAGTATTGCCTTTGCAGTTAGATTTATAGCATCGTCTACTACCGATTGAGGCAGTTCTATTCTATCTAATAGTTGTTTTTTATCATCTGGTGCATTACTGTAAATGAATTGAAATTTTCCATTGGCATACATTATAACTGTATTAATTAATTTTCCTAGCGAAGTCTTATCACGTGGGTCATTGAAAATCTTTTCCAATGAGTCTTCAAGTTCATTTCCATCTAAATTCCTTCCTTTCAATACTTCAGGATACAAATGTCTTTTGAATAAGACGAGGGAATGTTCTTCTGACTCAAAAAATTCTTGTTGAAATTGCGCTAGTCTGTACGCATCGTCTTCCTCACCAATAATCTCAGAAATGTCCAATACTTTATGTGCAAGAGCCACGTGGTATCGTCGTAAGATATTATCTGTCGTTTGCATTACTGAATCAGTGTTTTTATTCAGAAATATTGCAATTGTTGTCGCGAGAGCTGAAATGTCATCTTCTATTGAATTTATCTTCTCAAAAGATAGCACTGGAAACGTATCAACTTCTAGATTAAATTTGAAATCTTTTAAATTTGGTATTGCGGATTGTAGGTCAGAAAACAACTGTTTCGCAATGTCACCTAGTGTTTTGGTATTGTCTAAGAATTTCAGGTATTTACAGTTTTGGTCTGCTATTAAAATATTTCCCACTATACTGGCTAAATCGATGTTGATTTTCGAAAATTCTTTTTCCACTGTTTTGTCTATTGTGACTATATTTCCCGGTGCAGATTTCAATAACATTTCCACCATTTTGTTTTTGACTTTCACAAGGATGCTGTCAGCTGTCCAATCTTCATTATTATCTTCATTCCCTCTTACTGTGAGATCTTTATTGCCGAATGCCACTGGGACTTTAATTTCCTTCGGTCTCAGGATTTCTTCTGCAGCTATAGACATGGCTTCGTATACATTCGCCCGAAGAACATTTACTTTTTCTAATTTATGTCTTAAATCTTCACCCATAGATTTGTCAACAAATTCTAGTTTTCCATTACTGTTGTTTAGAGTTACAACATTGCATATAAGTTTTGCTAATATTTGAACATCAAAGGGTTTCATAAATAGTTTTGATAGCAATTCATTCTTTGCGACATCATCAAGTTGCCTTTTCTTTAAAATGTCCATATAAAGCGTGTCTCGGAATAATTTAATAAATTCATCATCGCTTTCGTAAAATTCACTACGGAAACGAGCTATTCTGTGTTCACTGTTTTTGTTTTTATCCCGAATCTCACTTATAAGTAAGAAGTTTTTTGCCAGAATCACGTGGTAAATGAGTATCAGATCGTTGTTAATTGACAGTACAGTATTGTCGTTTTTATTAACAAATTCTGCTAGTAAAATAGCCAGCTCGACTAGCTGTTCCTTCATGACTATTTCACATAGAAACTCCACATGTGTTTCTTTGTGATTCGGCTGGACGGCATCATTCCCTGTAGCTATTAAACTGTTGAGTTTATGAGCAACTTCTTTATCAAATCGTACATTATCATGATCATCTCTAGCTGTCGTATACATAATGAAATAAGTATCAATATCTTGAAAATTTCCCTTAAAAAAGACGTCTTTATTGTTTTGCTTGAAGGAACGTCTGATGGTTAGGTAGCTGGCGAACCATTTAGCTAAGTCGTTTTTGCTGTTTAGCGTCAAAACTGTTTTATCTGCTTCTCTGTGTTTCGCTTGAACAAAAATGGCGATTTGTTTACTGTTCCCAATTTTCGCTTTAGCTCTAAAGCATATATCGTCAAATGTTCCTATGTCTGCCATGTTGGTCGCTAAATAACAGTCTTTGAGGCTGTTGTCGAATTTTGCTCTGAAGTTAATAAGACTTATTAGTTTTGTTTCGTACAGCTGGCCTTTAATGCCGGACGTTCCTTCTCGTTTCTTATACATTTCGGCAGATTTCCTATTCTTTTTATCAATACCAGCTTTTATGTCTTCATGCCTGAAAACCTGCTACCAGCCATCGAGGGGTGGACAACAGTTGACCTGACTGCAGTCCCTGAGTCGTCAGTCAGGCGTAGGCGTAGTCAAACAGGGTTTAGTTCACCAGTATTCGTGATGAGGTGATGATGGTGATGACGATGATCCAGTACTACCTGTCCTGGACGTCGTATAGCCTCAGAGTCAGCAACAGTTGACACAAATGAAGTTTAAAGTAGTCAATACTTTTTAATTTTCCCGATGTCCAGTCCATTGGAGTTCTGCAAACAAAAGTATTGTTAGGAGAGTGGCCATATTGAATGTCAAACCAACGGTTATTGATTAAGGCCATCTGCCTCCTTGGCCGAGTGGTCGCAAGTGCGACTGCCGGGCAAGGGGTCTCGGGTTCGATTCTCAGGTAGGGCAAAGTACTACTGGGTTATAAAAAAATCTTAGTAGTAGCACGGAGTTTGGAATTGTGCCCGTTATATGGCAATAGGCTTATCCCCTATTACATGGAAGTCATGACATAAATAGTGAAAAGTGGGTGTTATATGTATAGTGGCATTAAATGCCGTAATGTGCTCTGCCTATTCCTTCGGGGATAAAAGGCGTGATGTTATGATGATGATGACCACCACAGACCGAGCTATAATATATGTTATCGTATAGCTAACCCGGCATCATGATCCGGAAATTGTTACGTGGTCGAGGGAGCTTTTTCTGTTTCATTCCGCTAGTGGCTCCGTTTCTTTGCTCCCAAGTATATATTTTAAAGTACAAAACAGTTTTAATGTCGCGGGCTACACTACAACCCAATCTCCCCAATTCCTGAATCCCCAACGATCCTCAAACTCTTAATCCCCAAAAGGCCGGTAACGCACTTGTAACGCCTCTGGTGTTCCTGGTGTCCATGGGCGACGCCGATTGCTTACCATCAGGTGATCCGTCTGCTGGTATAACGGCTTATGCCATAAAAAAAAATCACCTTAAGACTTGAAGGTCACTTCGGAAAGTAGTTTAGGGAACAGAGAGTATAGTTCCCTAAGATCGGAAAAGGAGGATCCTCCGACCAGGCGAGGTGATCGTGCCTGGCGGGCTTTCTGCCCAACAGTTGTTCGTTGGGATTTTCTATCCGTGTTAAATCCAATGTAAACTTCGCATGTGCGATGTAGGATTTTTATGACGTCATCCGTTAGAATGTACCATGTGTCGCCACATCACTCCCTCCCAAGACCGAAGGTCGATCCCGCTGAGACGGCTGTCGATGCTTGAGATGTGCGGTGCCAGAGCCATTGTATAGTGGCATTAAATGCCGTAATGTGCTCTGCCTATTCCTTCGGGGATAAAAGGCGTGATGTTATGATGATGATGACCACCACAGACCGAGCTATAATATATGTTATCGTATAGCTAACCCGGCATCATGATCCGGAAATTGTTACGTGGTCGAGGGAGCTTTTTCTGTTTCATTCCGCTAGTGGCTCCGTTTCTTTGCTCCCAAGTATATATTTTAAAGTACAAAACAGTTTTAATGTCGCGGGCTACACTACAACCCAATCTCCCCAATTCCTGAATCCCCAACGATCCTCAAACTCTTAATCCCCAAAAGGCCGGTAACGCACTTGTAACGCCTCTGGTGTTCCTGGTGTCCATGGGCGACGCCGATTGCTTACCATCAGGTGATCCGTCTGCTGGTATAACGGCTTATGCCATAAAAAAAAATCACCTTAAGACTTGAAGGTCACTTCGGAAAGTAGTTTAGGGAACAGAGAGTATAGTTCCCTAAGATCGGAAAAGGAGGATCCTCCGACCAGGCGAGGTGATCGTGCCTGGCGGGCTTTCTGCCCAACAGTTGTTCGTTGGGATTTTCTATCCGTGTTAAATCCAATGTAAACTTCGCATGTGCGATGTAGGATTTTTATGACGTCATCCGTTAGAATGTACCATGTGTCGCCACAGTAGCAATAAAAACTCCAGCTCGCCCGTGTTCTGATGGTAAGCGGATGACTGAATCGTAGACAAGCTTCCCCACGTTTCCGTGGGAGAAAAAGTAATCTATCCTTGTTTCAAAGTTTGTCCCGATCTCTTCAGCCGTTTTTATGTGGGTGAGTAACAAACATACACTCACAAACGTATTTCAATATTAATGAGATGAAAGAAGAAAACAAAGAAAGAAAAATAATTTATTTGCACCATTTGAACACTGAGAACTACGCAAAAAGGCCAGGGCTCAGCTAAAATATCGTGTCCCAGGCGCGCGCCAGGTCGAGTCGCAGCGCCGATTTTTAGCACTAGTCCATTACTATATGCATAAAATAATAATATTTTACAGACTGCACAGGTGGCGCAGTGATTGGGCGACCGGCTGGTGAGCAACGTGTAGCGGGTTCGATTCCTGCGTCGGCCAAAAAGTGATAGTGAGTCAGGAAGTTCGGCGCTGTTTCACCCTCGTGCTTCGGAAAGCACGTAAAGCCGTTGGTCCTGCGCCTGATCTCTCGCCGGTCGTGTCGGTTTGCTGTGCCATCGATCAGAGAGTGAGGGAACAGACACAGGTGCACCCGTGTTTGCGCACACACTTGTGCACTATAATATCTCCTGCGTAATGGCACAGTCTATACAGGCGTCCAACGAAGACGTCTAGACAGGGCAATCGTGCGGGGTGTGAGGGGCGAGACGCGGGTAGCCGATCCCGAGCTGCGAACAAAACGATGTTAGCAGCTCGGGATATTATTATTCAAGGTTAACGCGTATTTGTTTTTACCGACTTCAAAAACGTCGAGAGGCACTATGTTCGAATGATTGTTTCATTTTTTTTATGGTTTTCGAGGGTGGTAAAACCGATGGTGCTGTCAAAATGTAAATCCAAGATGGCGGCTGCATGACATTTTCAATTTATCGTCATAGGTGTCGTTTTCACGGTTTTCAAAGGTGGTAAAACTGATGGTGCTGTCAAAATGTAAATCCAAGATGGCGGCTGCATTACATTTTCAATTTATCGTCATAGGTGTCGTTTTCACGGTTTTCAAAGGTCGTAAAACTGATGGTGCTGTCGAAATGTAACTCTTTAACGGTGTACAGTAACTACCTTGTGTTTGTATAATTTGTATTGATTAGAACTTTGCACCTGTGTGGATTATAAGTGGCAAAACGAGTATATGTTAGCAGTTACTTATTATAGCTTTACACTCAAAATGATAAAATAAAACATAAAAACTGCGTTTAAAAATCAAATTCTCAAAAAAACCTAATTTAAATAAAAACAAATAAAAACTAAATAGAAAAATAATAACTATATTAGTACCTACTGATGAGTTACTCACCCACTGACCGACTTTTAATCGGCGCCATAAACTCATATTTTTGACAACCCTGGCCGATGCGTTACTGTCTAGACGATGTCGGCCATTTTACACGAGATCAAACGCGTCTTCCTACTGTACGTTTCTTATACTGTGGTAATGGGCTAGTCTAGTGAGAGACTGGCCAACAGGATCAAAATCGATCGGGAGATTTATTATAGAAAATAACTAGCTGTTACCCGCGACTTCGTCCACATAAAACAACGACTTCTGGCCTATCGTGAGATTTATTGTGAAATAAATTTAACGTAGTTTCAAAAAAAAATCTTGCAATGATTTTACCAGTACTGCGCCCGTTCCTGTAAGGTTTGAGTGATAAAAACTATTCTATCGACTACCGTTGGACCCAATTCTCTCTAAAATATGTTTATTGGTTAAGATAGTATAAGTCCCGGAGCTTTGACGCATAGTTCACGTTCTTCTGTGATAAAAACTAACATACATCGTTTCCCAGATCTCAAATTATCGTTTTACCGAATGTAACTCAAAGAGATTCGATGATTCTAGATTCAGTGGCTAAGAAAATTTATACAAACTCTTATTAAACTCTCATTTTATCCCCTCAGTGATGGAATTTATTAAAATCCTTCTTAGCATGCAAAGTCTCAACCCGATAGGTTTAAAACTGACAAAGTGTTAGACAAACTTTCATCCCCTATTTTACCCCCTGGGGGTAGAAATGATCGAAATCCTTTCTTAACGGATGCCTACGTTATAACATCTACCTGCACGCCGAATTTCAATCCGATTTGTGTAAAACTAACAAAGTTTCATACAAACTTTCATCCCCTATTTTACCCCCTGGGGGTAGAAATGACCGAAATCCTTTCTTAACGGATGCCTACGTTATAACATCTACCTGAACGCCAAATTTCAACCCGATTGGTGTAAAACTAACAAAGTTTCATACAAACTTTCATCCCCTATTTTACCCCCTTGAGGATGGATATGATCAAAATCCTTTCTTAGCGGATGCTTACGTTATAACATCTAACTGCATGCCTAATTTAAGCCTGATCCGTTCAGTGGTTTGGGCTGTGCGTTGATAGATCACTATGTCAATCAATCAGTCAATCATTCACCTTTGAGATTATAGATTATATATACATTATATCTATCAATATAGATACTAAAAAGATAATTATTTTCAAAAACATCTGCAATAACTAAATAATTTATTAAAAACATATATTAATATGAAACAAAAAAAAATTTGTCACACAAAACTAAACGCATAATTTAGACATTGACGTCCATAATGAATTAGTCAAATGTTACCTATTGACGTTAAAACGGCTGAAGAGATCGGGATGGAACAGAGGTAGATCATACTCTGATATAGTTACATATAGGCCAGGTTTTATCTCACAGGAACGCGGGCGAAGCCGCGGGCTGAAGCGAGTAGAGGAATCAATAACACTCACCAATTACAATTTGTAACAACTATGTATAGGTTGCACTGATAAGCCTGTTACTCACCGAATTACTTCGTCTTGAAACTGATTTATCAATAAATTCATTAAATTAACTGAAGTTCTTTAGTACAGCGATATATCACAGGCAGGAATTGTAATTATTTTTATCAAAATATTGCAGTTCTATTATTGGTTATGTTTACTTCGAATTCTCAATTCGAGGTCGTCCAACTTTTTTTTATCTGAGTAGTGTTGCCAATTTCAGTAAACCTATTACCTACCGTGTTGCTAATAAATAAATAATCAGAAAATATATTTTTAATCAGATAAATATTATAAGATAAATAATAATTGTATAAAAAAAAATATGTCTGCATAAGCTAGTTTCCTACTAGTCAAATTCAATACTTTTGTCGGATTTTATTATTTAACAATACACTTAATTAACATAATTAAGAACAAATATATATAATGCAACTTAAAATTAACTAAAACTAAACAGCGAATAAAAAAAAGTAAAAGAAAAAACGAAATTCCATCAATCAGATGTCAAAGAACATGTCCGCATCACGGTCACTGGGGTATATGTCCAGAAGACTGGCAGCATTGCCATACAACGTGGCAATGCTTATTTTCTGTCCGAAGAAATAGTCAGCCCTCTAGTCACGAGTAGTTAGAATCGATTAGCTTACAGGCCATTGCTTTATAAACTGAATGTGCCCTGGGACCCCAAGGCCCAATCGTTTCGACCCCAAACGGATCAAAAATAGATCTACAGATAAATAAGTAATTGAAACTGGCTGTAGGTAAGTGTTACTTAGTAATGTAGCTACTAAGGGGCTAGGCGGGGCAGTGCCTCAGGGCCCTAATACAAAGGGGACCCTTGAATCCTCACAAAGATATTTCAATAGAAATCATTTTTTCAAAATTTCTCCCATTTTAAAATAAATATGACAGGTGGCAACACGCCTATAATCATGGCAACTCAGTTTCAGATAAATTCGGAAGTCATTAGAAAAAGGGAATTCCCCAAAATTATTTGTGAGTGTTGACAGTGTTATCAATTTGACGGATATCAATACGTGCGTTTTATTATTATATAGATAATATATATTTTAGAAAAGAAAAACAATCTATATCTATAATCTATACTTATATTTTATAATATATAATTCAAAGGTGACTGACTCTATCAACCCACAACCCAAACCACTAGACGGATCGGGCTGGAATTTGGCATGCTGCTAGATGTTGTAACGTAGGTATCCACTAAGAAAGGATTTTGATCATTTTCACCCCCCAGAGGGTAAAAAAATAGGGGATGAAAGTGTGTATGAAATTTTGTCAGTTTTACACTGATCGGGTTGAAATTCGGCATGCAAGTAGATGTTATGACGTCAACATCGTATAAGAAAGGATTTTGATCATTTCCACCCCCTCGGGGGTAAAATAGGGGATGAGAGTTTGCATGCAACTTTGTCACTTTTAAACTGAATGGGTTTGAATTTCGGCATGCAGGTAGATGTTATGACGCAAGCGTCCTCCAAGAATAGATTTTGATCAATTCTACCCCCAAAGGGACCAAATAGGGGATGAAAGTTGTGATTAATCTTCTTATCCATTGAATCTATAATCATTGAATCTTTTTGAGTTACATTCGGTAATACGATAATTTGAGACTTGGAACATGATGTATGCATGATAGTTTTTACCAGATACAGGAAACCCCCGAGAACGGGAACAATACGTTAAAGCTCGGGGACTCTATCTCTTAACCATTGATCTTATTTAAGAGAGATTCGGTACAACAATAGTCGATAGAATAATTTATTTTTATCACTAACACATTACGGGAACGGGCGCTCCACTGATAAAATCCCTGCGGGATTACTTTTTTATTTTTTGAAAACACGATAATTTCATTTCACAATAAATCTCATTTAGGCACTGAATCCTGATGAATTCTGCCAGAAGTCATTGGCTCGAAACTTTTACTTGAAGAAATTTTACTAGAGCGTGGGGTAAAGTAATAAGTACAGATAAATGGGGTCCCCCCATTTATTTTCGTTTCACGGCCCTAGGTTGCCTAGCTACTAGCTACGCCACTAGACTAACGAAAATAAAAACTAAAACCTATGTTACAGAAATAGCTACTGTATATTTTGTGTTAATATCTTAGTAGACACGTAACTGACTGCCTCGTTGGCCGAGTCGCAAGTGCGACTGTCGGGTAAGAGGTCTCGGGTTCGATTCCCGGGTCGGGCAAAGTATTACTGGGTTTTAAAAAAAAACTCTTAGTAGTAGCACGGAGTCTGGAATCGTGCCCGGTATATGGCAATAGGCTCACCCCCTATTACATGGGACTCGTAACATAAATAGTGAAAAGTGGGTGTTATATTGTACAGTGGCCTAATGTGCACCTCTGCCTATCCCTTCGGGGATAAGGGACGTGATGTTATGTTATGTTATTTTATGTTTAGATACGTAACTACAATTATCAATACATAGTATAAAACAAAGTCGCTTTCGCTGTATGTCCGTATGTATGCTTAGATCTTTAAAACTAGGCAACGGATTTTGATGCGGTTTTTTTTAATAGATAGAGTGATTCTTAAGGAAGGTTTATATGTATAATACATGCATATTGCACCCGTGCGAAGCCGGGGCGGGTCACTAGTTTAATATACAAATATAAATACGACATTGTTTGAATTCGTGTATATATCTATTACTCAATTATGTCGAAACGGCTGAAGGGATCGGGATAAAATTTGGTACAGGGATAGATTTTTGTCTGTATTAACATGTAAGCCAATTTTTATCCCGCGGCCACGCGGGCGATGCCGCTGGTAGAAGGTAGTAGTTGATGAAATAAAAATTAATATTTCGCATTATCAATCAATACATCAATACATAGTATAAAACAAAGTCGCTATCGCTGTATAAACTACGCAACGGATTTTGATGCGGTTTTTTTTAATAGATAGAGTGATTCTTAAGGAAGGTTTGTATGTATATACATATTGCACCCGTGCGAAGCCGGGGCGGGTCGCTAGTTTATATAATAATATCCAATCTATCACTGCATTGTTTAATTATACTTACAATATTTAAGTTAAATAAATAAGCAACTTAAAAATACAAATAATAACATCGTTTAGTTGGATGTTACGGACAAGAAAAACTAAAGCTAGTGTAGGGACACCCTGTTGACGCTGTACTTTTGTGTTCCCAAGCGCGTACGTGCGCTGGCGTCGCACGGCAGTCGTCTCCCCGCAACCGAACTAGTAGGTCGTCATTTTTAAGTATATATCATGTAACTGGTACCAGAATTATATCCCCAAATAAAATGAAGCGCATCATTTATCCACCTCGACAAGAATACTTAGAACCCCCACACTAGATTTAGACGCTTGCAATAAAGGATGTTGAAAAACAAGCGGACATAGTCTCTTAAAACAACGACTGTAGCACCTGGCTACTATAGACTTACACGCAGAATACACACACATTGACACGAAGGACATCTGTCGCGTGACATGGCCCGTCATTACACTTCATACATTACGGTGTTGCAAGCACACGCACACATAAATATACCGCCTTTTTTAAAGTTCTTGGTAGCAACTACATTTTTTATTAAAAAAAATAATATAATAAAATCAGGGTGCCTACTCTTGAAACCAATCTCAATGTCAATGCAATTTCAATCCAATAAAATCTCAATAATTATCCAATGTCAAAACTATACAACCACAATCGTAGCTGTTAAAATAGCATTTAGAGTACGGAATATAAAGCCAAACTCAATACCATTTAGTTCATTCAATATCCACGCAATACGGATGCAAAAGGCGCTAGTTTCAAGAGTACGAAATTTCACAATGTCATTGTCGATCGATCGGAATTGGATTCAAGAGTAAGCACCCAGGCCCGCATTACTCCGATTTATATTATACTAGCAGCCCGCCCCGGCTTCGCACGGGGTAGAAAATTATTTATTTTTTATAATATGGATTGTTGTAGTGACATAACTACAATAGTTGGCCATATGCTACCGCGGAGTTTTTTATAGACATTATGATGTTTTTCAATATTGTTGTACATTATTTTGTTCTATCGCTAATAGTTTCGGCAGCGCATTCGACGAAAGACATTTTAAGACTCATTTTTCTACACCTTCGGATACATTGTTCAAATTTTACTAAGGATCCCTAATTTTTTTCAAAATGAAATGTAGCCTATGTCAAATTGGAAGAAGCATTCTATTGGTGAAAGAATTTTTTAAATCGGCTCAGTACTTTTTGAGCCTATTCACTACAAACATACAAACATACAAAAATAGGTACAAATCTTTCCTCTTTATAATATTTGTATAGATTAGTTTTGAAGTGCCTTCTTTCCGGAGCTCCGGACGACATAATGGGTTGCTGGGGCTCTGGCTTGAAGCAGGAATACGAACGGGGTGGTGTTTAGTCAGTAAGAGCCTGACACTCCCTCTCTCTCACCCAGGGCGGGAGGAGTCATTGATGATCTTCCCCTCTCAAAAAAGGCGCCATTAATTTAGCTGCAAAGTGCCGCGGACACTCCACAGCACTCCACACCATATCGTACCGTAGTCTCATAGAGTCTTTAGGGAACAGAGTGTATAGTTCCCTAAGATCGGAAAAGGAGGATCCTCCGACCAGGCGAGGTGATCGTGCCTGGCGGGCTTTCTGCCCAACAGTCGTTCGTTGGGATTTTCTACTCGTGTTAATTCGCTTGTAAACTTCGCATGTGCGATGTAGGATTTTATGACGTCATCCGTTGACTTCGGACATGTGACGCCATGAGTCTATGGCCACACAATGCTTTCAATCCACGGTATATAATGGGAGACCTTGGTGTAGATGCCGGAACCAGCCGTCCGCCCACATTGTCTGCCATAAGATGTGACACCGAGAATTCTGTAGAAACATTTTTCTTGATCCTTCACCTGCAATGGTCCTCCACTGTCACCCTGCAATGATAGGAAACTTTTGACACATGAATGTGCACTCCGTGCTACTACTGAGACTTTTAAAAATTTAAAACCCAGTAATACTTTCCCGACCCGGGAATCGAACCCGAGACCCCTTGCCCGCTAGTCGCACTTGCGACCACTCGGCCAATGAGGCAGTGATTTTTCGATGCTCTCTGTAAATAGTCATTTTTAGTTTGAATTTTTTCATTTATATAAGGTGTTGTTTTAAAGCCGCGTCGTTTTCTAGGAGGTAACTCGGCTATCGATTCTGAGTCCGAATCAATAAAAAAATTGTAGGTGAATATTTTTCATTTTTCTGTAAATTACGGAAATCCTTACTTGCGAACTACACGCCGCTGTCTTGTAACTAGCTTTATAACGCGGCTTAACTTATACAAACTCAAACACATAATTGATATTATTCCTAATTCCATAAAACTCCAATAAGAAGCATTGCTGTCGCTTATTCTGAAATACTGTCGAACTTCAACGATTTATTATAGCCGTATTTTTAACTATTGGCCCGAAACTTTCTCTTACATTGAACCTTTATGACTTCTGTGACATGCCCCCGAGAAATGACACGGCTTCAAAACTACACCTTGCATGTCTCCATTACTTTTAGTGTATTTTAAGTTGTGAATATTTATTTATTTCCATAAATCAAATCCCATTAACATCATATAAATGAAAAAAAGGCCTCTTCTCACACGGAGAAGGTTTGAGCAATAACCATTATGCTTTCTCAATACATGTTGGCAATTTTTCAATCCAGACGAATTATATTTGTTCACAATAAGTACCTGGCAGGTGTCTTTAGGATCATTGTCATCTCCGTAGCACAATTGAGTGGCTTCATCGAAACCATTTACTAGATGTCGGTGCTTCGGGTACAGCTTGGAGCAGGTCTGTGTGTCATACTTTCTAAGAGTCACCTATAACACATATGCCTCGTTGATTAACATAAACATAACATCACGCCTTTTATCCCGGAAGGGGTAGGCAGAGGTGCACATTATACCACTATACAATCTCACACCCACTTTTCACTATTTATAATTATGAGTCCCATGTAATAAGGGGTTAGCCTATTGTCATATACAGGGCACAATTCCAGACTCCGTGCTACTACTGAGAATATTTAAAAAAAGCCCTGTAATACTTTGCAAGACCCGGGAATCGAACCCGAGACCCCTTGCCCGGCAGTAGCACTCCACTCGGCTAACGAGGCAGTTGGAAAACACTGCCAATTATTAGGTTTCGACTGTTTCCGCGGTCCACAAATAAGGTTTATTTAATGAGATAGTACTTAATGGTGCCAATGGATCAGATAGATCACTTGATGGTAAGCAATTGGATAGGGGAATGAAAATTAAGAATCTAATTAGTCCGTCAGTAAGATAATGAAAAAATACTAGAAACGTATTTTTTATTTTCTCGTATAAATTTACAATACTTAGATAAAATGGAGTTAAGTTTAGGAGTAGGTCGTTACGTCTTACGTCACAGTGTGCTACAAAATGTAGGGCAAAGTGACGTCACTCAATATTTCAGATTAATATATCGTCGAAAGTATTTAATTTTGTGATAAAAGAAAAAATACGTATCTAATGTTTTACATTAATCTACCAGACGGACATTAAAATTAAATTTAGGGAAACTATCCTATTGGCATCGCCCATGGACATCTGTAACACCAGAGAAGTTACGGATGCGTCCCCGGCTTTGTTTATATTTGATGGGCTAACGTTTGACCACTATCTCGGCTGGTGGTAAGCGATGATGCGGCCTACGATGGAGCACGTCGTCCCATAAGCAACCTATTCACTCGGGCCTTGAAGACACCCAGGTTGTACCCTTCAGGAAATACAGACTCTGGCAAAGTATTCCACTCTTTAGCAGTACGCACAAGGAAGCTTGAAGCGAATCGCTTCGTGCGTGTGGGTGGAACATCTACCATGAATCGGTGATGCTTCGCCGATTGTCTTGTGGCATGATGATGTAAAGGACTAGAGGGAATCAAGTTGTGCAGTTCCCCCGCACACTCACCGAAATGTGTCCGGTAGAAAACTGAAAGGCTTGGAACCTTACGCCTGTGTTCGAGGCTTTGAAGCCGGACCTCCACAAGCACACTATCGTCTTTATTTATACCACCGGCTCTTTGGGGATTAGGAGTTTGAAATTTTTTGGAGATTCGAGGCTTGGGGAGTTTGGTACGGAGGTTTGGGCCTCGGGTAACCTCACATATAGTACGAAGCACAATGCAAATGTTCTTTCAGGTCGATTTCCTGTGCTTACCATCAGGATATCTGTGCTCGTTTTTTTATGGGACAAACCCGCCACAACCTCCCAATACCGCTGCAACTCCTGTAAGCCATAATCTACAGTAGATACCATGAAGACACCGGGACACTGAAGTCCGGCGCGTCCCAGGGACATGAGTAACTGTCTTGGTTCCCGCAACGAGTGAATCAGAAGATATTATAAGAGGAGAAGAAGAAAAAACTATGGTTTCCACTTCCCTCGGTGCTGCAGGATACAGAATGAATTAAGCCTAAAGGCACAAAGAAGAGACTGTACAACTGGGTGAAGCCCAGTCGCCAAGCACCACGGAAATTTGACTAAAAACTAAGTGGGTCCTATGTGTGAGCTGTTATACTTGCTTCCAATAATAGGTATGGCAAAAACGCCTAAACGCACTGTGCGCGTTTGTCACTATAAAAATGGATAAAGTAAATTATGGTTATCTTACGGTTTGCAAGACATCTGCGAGACCCTGGTGATGCCCAAGGGCACCCCAACCAGTAGCTTCTGCTTCAAAGTCTGGTTCAGTCTTCACATACAGACAGGCTGGTAGCACAAAATAATGATCGAACTGTATCCTGTAAGAAAATATTGAGACATGTTTTTTGTATACACATACCAATACCCTTTTTATCCCCGAAGAGGTAGGCAGAGGTGGCACATTACGGCATTTTAAAAACCCAGTAATACTTTGCCCGACCCGGGAACCTTTGCCCGGTAGTCGCCACTTGCGACCACTCGGCCAACGAGGCAGTCAAAAAGTAGTATATGGCAATAGGCTCACCCCCATATTACATGGGACTCATAACATAAATAGTGAAAAGTGGGTGTTAGATTGTATAGTGGCATCAAGTGCCGTAATGAGCACGTCGGCCTACCTCTTCGGAGATAAAAAGGCTATATTATGTCCGATATGCAGATCCGGAGATAAAGAAAGAAATAAAGAAAGAACTCAGCAGCCTCATACTTACGGAACCTCGGTCTCAAGGAGGGCGATGTCATGATATTTATGAGGAGACAGGTACTCCGGGTGAGGGATCACTCTCGTGATATTGTAGGTATGCCAATATTTTAGAGGGTCCGACCTCTTGAGGATACCGAACGCTGCGTACTTTATTGGCCCACTGGAAATAAAATACATGCCTTATTTAATCCCCTAGCACCTTTTTTATCCCGCTTGCGGTGTGTTCAATGTCGTGGTGGCTCGGAGGTTTAAGACGCCCGCTTTTTTTTTAAAAGAGTAACGAATGGAGTTTCTTGCTCGTTCTTCTCCATTCGAATCTACATTTTGGAATGAGCACCTAGCTTCACCTAATTTCACTGACGGACTGACTGACAGACTATTATTTATTTTGTATTTGTTAACGTTTCAAAAGTACCAAACTATGGTTTAATTGAAATAAATGCTTTGACTTTGACTTTGACTTTGCTTCTTATACATGAGGGTGCGGATTCCAAACGTACCAACAGCAAGTACCAATGAGACTTTTTCCGAGTTATATGTACTTTCTAAGATTATTCAGACACCACTGACAAGCGGTGAAGGAAAGCATCGTGAGGAAACCTGGGCTTATAATTTCTCATTATAAGTTTGAAATCGCCAACCCGCATTGAGCAAGCGTGGCGATTAATGCTCAAACCTTCTCCGTGTGAGAAGAGGCTTTGCTTAGCAGTGGGCATTTATAGGCTGTTGATGTGTTATGTGTTGTGTCATCGGGTGAGTCGGGTCGAGGTTACTGGAGTCCCAATAACTTAATTGCTTCAATACAATCATGTGCAAGCAGTGCTCGTCATTTGGTGATTAGGGTGCGGGGCAGCTGCAACAGTATACTGGGTGTTTACTCTTGAAATCAATCTCAATGTCAATGCAATGTCAATCCAATAAAATCTCAATTATTATTCAATCAATGTCAACACTATACAACCACAATCGTAGCTGTTAAAATCACATTCAGAGTACGGAATATAAAGCCAACTAAATATCAATAAGTTCATTCAGAATCCACGCAATACGGATGCAATGGACGATAGTGTTACAACTCAAGTGTACGAAATTTCACAATGTCAATGTCGATCGATCGGAATTGGATTCAAGAGTAAGCCCCTTGGTCCCATTTCACGGCAGACTTGGGACATGAACATAATATCTATCAGAACCTACTAATACAATGACTTTTTTGTACATGCCATTTGTTTTTTGGCGTGACATAGAGTTTTATCTTTCACTCTTTCTCCTTCTTTCAGAATGGTCCTTACATGATAGTTTTTAGGGAACAGAGAGTATAGTTCCCTAAGATCGGAAAAGGAGGATCCTCCGAGCAGGCGAGGTGATCGTGCCTGGCGGGCTTTCTGCCTAACAGTTATTCGTTGGGATTTTCTATTCGTGTTAATTTGCATGTCCAGCTGATCTCGTTTTCCACATTCATAGGGACAATGATGTTAGATAGGTTAAAAGCAATTTTGAATTCTATACTCACAAACTTGGGCTGGAAATGCAGTGTGCAGCAGTTAAGACAAAGTTCTTGCTGATGATGGAACCACCACAAAGCCATTGCGCTGTTTCTACCGTTTCTCCGTAGCCCAAGAGCGCCTGGAATATAGTACAAACCAATATCAACTTTCAACCTACAAAAATTAAATTCATTTTTTAATACGAAAAGCTGGTAAACGTGCAGACGGATCACCTGATGGTAAGCAATCGGCGTCGCCCATTGACACTCGGAACACCAGAGGCATTACAAGTCCGTTACCGGCCTTTTGAGAATTAGGAAGTTGAGGATTGTTGCGGATTCGGAGTTTGGGGAAATTGGAGAAGGTGGGGAGGGGATAATCAAGCCTCCGATAACCTACTATGGTGAACGGTATGGGGTATTTCGTGCAAAAGCATCCAACTCTTATCGTCATGATCATTATCTATGCAGGAGTTCCATGCTTCGGCACTGCTGTGTTGCCGACCGAAGACGGGATACAGACAACACATTTCGCAATTAGACGATCGACGAACAACTGAATGGATGACGTCATAAATCCTACATGGCACAATCATGTGAAGCTTAAAGGTGATTTAACATGAATAGAAAATCCCAACGAATAACAAGATAGGAACACGACATTACATCGGGCCCCGCAAGAGGCCTGACTACGTCAGCCTCTCGCCTGCAGTTGCAGGCAGCAAGAGAAACCGCCAAGACAAGCATTGGCCTGGGTTGCAAGACCTCACGCCTCCAGGCGGGGACGGTAAGACGACCTGAAACCGACTGTCGGGCAGCAAGCCAGCACGATCACTGGTCTGATCGGAGCCTGGTCGGAGAACCTCATATTCTTAGGAAACTTTACTATCTGTTCCCTGAACCTCTATTTTTGCGGGTGTCCATGGGCGACGCTGATTGCTTACCATCAAGTGATCCGTCTGCTCGGTTGCCGCCAAATCCTACAAGTCAAAATTCTGATGAGGACAAATAAAGCTACTTACCATATGTGGATACTGGTTCCGACGAGCTGGTATTCCAAATGCGATGGGTGGAACAGGGTACGGAGGATACTTAAACAAAACGTTTTTAATTAATTATTATGTTTTCGTCTTACTCATGTAACTGTTTGACGAAGAACTCGACTAGTTTCAAGCCATGCTAGAGGCTCGTTCATGAGCAGTATTCCGCGACCCGCGACGTGGGGACTGCTGCGCTGCTACTGAGAATCGCCAAAAAGTGTCAGTAGCAGCAAGACAACGCGGGCCTGCGGACGGCGAGCATGGGTGGCTGAGTGGCTCCCCGTCCGACCAGAAACAGACCCGAGCGTACAGCGCGTCGCGTTCCGCGCGCGCCTCAAAGAGCCATCAGACCACCACAGATGGGGCCCAATAGGGCCGATGCCGATTCGGAGTCGCGGAGAACCTAACGGGTAACCGGGGCTCCGGCTCGACG